TAANTTACTATTAAGGTAATTCTTATATTTAAAAAGGGGAAGTTATTATTAGTAATTCTTATACTTAAAAAAATAAATATTATATTACTTTTAAACTATTTTTATATTTAAATAAAAGTAATTATAATAATAAATTTAATAATAAATACTTTAACCTTTTTTAAAAAAAATACTACTTAGTTATATAATAAAAAAATCTTAAGCTATTTAACTTAAGTAAATATACTATAAGATATAAAAAAAATAAAACTAAAATTAGTAAATAATTTTATTTTTATAATAAGCTATAATAATTAGCCTTAAATATAAAAGTAAAAGATTTAATAGCTATACCTTTATTAAAGAAGTTATAATAAATTTAATTTACTTATTAAAATATATTTTAAAACTAGTAAAGTAATTAAATATTAATAGTAATTATTATAAGTAATTATTATAAAAATATATTTTATTTAAGCTAAATAATATTATATAAATAGTATTTTAAAAAGTATTAAAAGCACTAGCTATTAATATTATTAAGTAATAGTGCTATTAATAATAGCTAATAAATACTGCTTTAAAAGTATTTTATAAATCTTTTAATATAAAATTTAAATACTTAATATTAGCCTATTTTATATTAAAATTAATATAATTTTTAAAAAGATATAATAGCTATATAATATAATATATATTTTAATTTTTAAGTATAATTATAATATACTTTTTAAGCTTAGCTTAAGCTAAGTAAATTATTAAAATTAATAAGTTTTATTAATATATAATTAATAAAGATTTAATATTATTTTAAAAATTAACTAATATAATTAAAAGGTATAATATACTTACTTTTAAGTATTAATAGTTATTATTAAAGTAGTATATAATTAGTTACTTATATTATTTATTATTTATAAAAATAAGTAATTAATATTAATAAAATAGTTAATCTAGTGCTAATTCTTTATTATAAAAGCCTAATATTTATTATAAAGGCTTAATAAAAAAAAGTTAATAGTATTTTTTAAAAGCTATATATAAATTAGTATTAATATTATTAAATTCTAGTATATAAGTATATTATATAAAAAATATAAAGGCTTTTTATAATAAGGTAGTATAAGCCTTAAATTACTTTATTATAATTAAAAAAACTTAATGCCTTATTTAAAACTCTTTTTAAAAAGCTAAGCTAGGCATTATACTTAATAAAATAATTAGTTAATTACTATATATAATTAATATAATAAGTACTTTAAGAATAGTATTTATAATATTAAAATTATTAAAAGGTAGCTTATTCTTCTTATCCCTTAATTTATTATTATTAAATACTAAATTAAAAGTATATATATAAATAAATATTATAAAATTATACTATACTAGTTTTTATATATTAAAGATTTTAGCTATTAAAAGATTAATTATATATACTATATAATATATTTATTATATATTAATATAAGTTAAAAAGCTAAGTTAGTTTTAAATAGTAATATTTAGCTAGCTAGTATTTAAGTAAGAGCTATTATTAATAATAATAGTAAATATATAACTAAGTAGCTTATATTATTTTAAATAATTTATAATATAATTAATTTAAATAATAGCACCGTCACATCTTAAGATATTAAGGTACCGGCTCGATCTATCTTCTATTCC